GATTGACAAAAGGCTGTTAAATAAAAAAAACATATTTTATTCAGTCTGGATTAACGGTCGTAAAAAAAGAGCCTTGCGAGTCGGCATAAATTTATGGGAAAAGCAGCCATTGTCAAAATGTAACATTGAATCGTCGGTCAAGATATGGCCAATCATTTTTAAAAGTTTGATTTTCAATACCTGACACAGTCAATTCAAGGATTTAATAAGCGTGTGTTTAGGTATGTTTTCAACTCCGTATCTATGTTCAATTTATTTCGCACCATACGTAGCCAACCATGCTAATCAGAGGTGCGATTAGCACCTGTTTACTTACGTAGCTAATGTTGACATTTCGTGCAAAGTACGTTATAAATCAAGACTGTATTGAAGGACAAGAATACGTATTGAGAATGTCCAACAAGTTGCAATAACGAACACCAAATCGGTGACAGGCACTTAATATTCAGCTCACTTTAATACCGTTTTACTACATTTCTCACGTTAAAACACCCAAACCACCAGCGGCAGAATACTTAATTCATATGACAAAGGCCAGTCTCTCCGTAGAAAGAAAAGCAACACGGTTGGTATAGCACAACATAATTTTGGAGTAGATTACGTTTTGTGATTTGAACGTGTAGCCTTGTTTTTTCTAGTCGAGAGCTCAATCACGGCGCCATGCAGACACCGCATTGCGCCCTCACGTGTCAATGCTTACCCTATTTCCTACATTGCCTCTGGGTCTGCATTCGCTACTGAAAAGGAAAATCAGCCCCGAATATGCCTACGACTGACTACTGGAATTCACCATGAATGGACCCAATTCCACCAGATCTCAGATACTAAGCGGGTTTGTGCCTTGTTAGCACTCGGATGGGAGACTGCCTGGGAATGCTACATGCTGTGGCCTTGATCTGTGAGGTGGCCAGAAAGCAGCACGGCGATATATTCTTGAATCGATCTGTGCGGAGATTTGTGTGTTGCACGCTTAAATGCAGAGATTTTTGGGGGGCATCACGGTGGCGAGATGTTCACTACCTCGCCTGGTATGCAGGAGGTTGTGCGGTCGATCCCAAACCCTGACGCCTGCTGTATATTCGGAGTTTGCATGTCTCCCTCCCCGTGGTCGTGTGATATTATTATTTGTGGTCAGGTCGCTTCTGAAAAAGAGCTATATCGCTCAGTGGGCCTTAAAATAGTGTCATAGTGTATGCACAGTGGATATTATCCTGTTTCTCTGATTTTTTTTCTCACATTAAGTTAAACTATCCATAACGGAATTGACTAAAACATCCTCAATTAAGGACCATCCTAAAGAAGAGTCTTGACAATTCAATGAGACTTTTCTGGGTAAATGAAGGCATTCATTCTATATTTGAAGCTTTCGTGACTGCAAGAATTCATACTCTTTCGTTTTATTCAGTGAAGTCACGTAGGTAAAAACAAATTAAAATAAAATAAACAATTAAAACACGACGTTTCGGAGGCAACACAAGCTTCCGTCTTCAGGTGGAAACCTGGTGCAGATAATTTTTGCTGTGACTGTTTCCACCTGAAGACGGAAGCTTGTGTTGCCTGCGAAACGTCGTGTTTTAATTGTTTATTTAATTTTAATTTGTTTTTTTTTTTACCTACGTGACTTTACCGAATAAAACAAAAGAGTATAAATGAAGGCAATTTATCATTTGTTCTTTTGCTAATGTCTGTATTGCCAGCCGAGGTATGTTGGTGTGATGCTTTGTATTATTTTTACAGTTGCATAATGAAGCCTCAAAAGTGTGTTGTGTTCTAAACGTGCATGATTAGACCGCACAGCTTGTGCTTATCTTCATGGAGTGTTGCTTTGCCACAGTATAATGCACCGTGACACCATTCCTTTGTTCCATAATATATTCCACGTTGTTAATTTGGAGTGGCAGGGCGTGCTGCAGCAGTAACACTCGTGCCCCACAGCAGCAAGCGCTTCGGTTAGATTCCCTATTTGTGTTCTCTCCCTGTTCCCCATGGGTTTCTGCCGGGTTCTCCAATGTCCTCTCATGGCTTTGAAAATACAATGTAATTGGTATTGGCCAAACATCCCAACGATAGCTGAAAATGTACCTGCAAATTACTCAATTGGGATTGCACCCAGCATAATTGCCCCCTCCTCCGAAAACGTGGCAGGACCCTGATGAAAAAATAGTCTTGAGACTTACTCTTTGGTTCTTTCGCTTAAAGTCACGATTGCTATCGCGATTTTTCACCTGAAGACGAACGCTTGTGTTGCGTTCGAAACGTCGTGATTTATTTTATTTTCTACCCACGTGACTTTACCGAAAGAACCAAAGAGTGTGGATTCCTGCAGTCACGAAAGCTTCAAATCAGTCTTGAGACTTGGTGAATCTTTCCAGGGTAAACAATGTGTGAACTGATTAATTATATTCATTGCAGCAAATGTGCTGCATAGTATAAAACACAACGATTAAAACGAGGATTCCCAATTTTCGATCCAAGCATTGGATATTACTCATGTGTATCTGGGCTTCTGAGACATGGGAGGAAATTATATTTTCCTATGGCAGGGGCGAATAACTGCAACCACTGTTAACAACGTCACATTGTGCTTTAAAATTGCAGACGTACATACATTTCAAAATCATTTGACATAAAATAAACTTTGCCTGAGCTGCACAAAGCAAAAAATTGTAATACCGTTGGTAAACACTTCCATGATTTAATAAAAAAAAACTGGCAAATGTCACAACACAAGACACACTGGGCCAGAGTACCGAACTCATTGATGTTAACAAAATAATTGCACACTTATTTTTAAATGTGTCCTAACAATTACTTAGCATACGTGAAGTAACATGTTGTGATTGTGTTTACGTTCGAAGGGTCCGAACACAGACTGTTCAGGAATATCCCAAATGTGTATGTACAGTATGTATGTCAAACTTCTTTCGCACCGTACGTAGCCAACCGTGCTAATCGGAGGTGCGGGGACAGACAACAAACTAAACACACATTTTGTCCCAATCGTAGAATCAACCAGGCAGTGCTGTGGCAAGTACCATTTGGATGGTCACCTAAGCCCATCATCACTCTCCAGGGTCGATAAAATCCATGCCACTTTTGTGGGGAAGTCAGGCGCACTCGTGTGGAGAGTGCTGCAGAGACGCAGAGTTTGTACTCTTGACTCAGGGGCACCCTTTGGCCAGTCGGAAGCTGGCAAATATAATTTGTACAGTGATAAACATTTCACTTGACCGGATAAGAAGTGAAGATCAGAAAAAAACGTTAATTGGCTGAAAACATCTATATATAGAGGGCTTCAAGGCTTGGGCAATTGTTAATACTCGCTCACCACCTGGCTGCCTCCAAGCTTGTGTGCGGCTTCTCAGCGAAGATTGAATGCTATTTTTCAGGAATGCCCATGCTATGTAAATAACTAAACAGTAGTATTACTTATTATGTACAGCCCTTTGTCATTCCACTACCGGGTGAAGGTCTCCTCTCCATGCTGTGTCGGTCATGGGGGCTGTTTTACCATACTTCACGCTGGCTATTTGGGATCAAAGTATCAGGTTTGGTTCCGATATCACTCACCAACGATGTTATCATCTGTTGGAAATCGAACTCAGGTTATCGGGTTCTTGCACAGCATGTAACATGAACCGCGGTACCACCATTTCTCCATGAACGTGCAACACCAACAAAAAACGGTGCATTATTATTAGTTTCAGCCCATTACTAAAGTCATTACACCGCATTGACAAAATGAAACATTTTACGAGAAGAAACACAAAATACTTGCGCCTAATCCAAAAAGCATATCTTTCACCATAGTCGAATCATGCCATTTGTGAATGCTCACATTGCGGTGGCAGTGGGGTGGCTTCCCAGGTTAATGCGCCATGTCCTGAAGCGTGCTGAGACAGCAACTCTTAAATCCTGCTTTTTCGAGCCCTGGAGCAAATGAGAAAAAAAAACTACGTGAACATTGTCTTTTTGGTTTATGAAACTAAACAAAAGCTTCTCGGCACAGCGATTTTTACGGCCTTAGCCCCGGCGACGAAATTCGCCGTGCGGTATGGACAACGTGAGTTGCAGCAAAATTCAATTTCGCCCTTTATTTTTGGCCGCACTCGGTGACTGGGAGTTACTATTGCATCGAAACAAACAGATATTTGACAATTAATTAGCGAAATTAAGCGAGCGACCAAATTGAATGTGAGAGTCGTGTTTTTTTTTGTGTGTGTGCAGTCATTGACGCAGATTTATCACCGGTGGTTGTCTGGATTTGAACCCAGGATATCCCAGCAGTGCCAGCTCAGCGCTCTGACCTCGGGGCCACCCAGCCACCTCAACAAAATCTGAATACTCTATTACTTCGAGGATTTCATTGTTTTTTGAAATTCTCGCGAGAATCAAACGCCTGCTGACATCATCATTCTTGCATTTTCATTTGCGTTATTATCCTTCAGAATAGTTTTAAGAGACGATAATAGTAAAATATTATCACCTGGTAACTGCAGAGAACGTAACTGTGATTTGATATCATGGACTTTTCTGCATTTATTGGTGACCAGTCTGAGGCCATTAACTCAGTATTCCTCGGAATCCAATTTTATCGTGCTTGAGTGGTGCCAGCTGAATGCTTTGACACGGCGATTATGAGCCCCCCCCCATCCCCAAGACAAAAATACATTTGTATCTGAGCATGCTGGATGTAATTTCAAGTAAAACGTCGTACTTATGTACATGTTGTGAGATTCCCCTCCAACAACAACACAAACACTGATGTCGGTGGTGCAGCTGAAGCAGTAACATATTTGGCCACGTTTGATTCCCGTGACACTTGTATTAATTGTCTGTGCTAGGTGGAGGAGGGCTTACGGCACATTTTTTTACACGACCAAAAAACCCAAAAGAAACCGAGTAACAATCGGATACATTTGTACTCGTTGTCCTTGCTGGCTCACGAACCCACAACGCAATGCTCCTGTCGGATGTGTTCCGTCTCTCCCTCCGCACAGAGAGCGTAATCCGCGAGTGCCTAGCAAACGGGACGTGGGCACAACGCTCCAACTACTCCCTGTGCAAGCCAATCATCGACGCCAAGGTCAGTGTGTGCTCTGTGCCTCATTACACACTTTACCAACAATGCTTTGGGTTTTCTTTTTTGCATTAAACAATAACAACAATGGCATATACGGAGGGAAACCAGGGTCCGAGTACACAACAGCAGGATGGCTGGGATACACGCGTATATCGAAATGCGATCCTTATTCATTATTAATTTGCATCGTCGCCCATGGAAAGTATACCACCAGCCTGACACATTGAATTGGGTGCAAAGAGAGAGACGTGTGGGGGGTGGGGGGGGAGGAATAGCACGAGAGGGGGAGGAGAAAGGGGAAAAAATGGAAAAAGGTGATGTGCAGTGAATGTATGGTGGGGAGAGTTAACCTTGAGGCCTTGCGCCTGAGCGGATCTGTGCACAATTCTGTAAAAGCAATGCTGGGGTACTTCTGAAACAGTGTTCGTTTTGAAGTTGCCTGCTGACTGTCAAATTGCTTTCACGGACACGTGCAACCAACACGACAGTCCCCTCCAACAAGGATATATGAAAAACTAAAATCGTTGAAAACTCAACGTGGGCAATGCTGTGTGGCCTTTACAGGAAAACGATATACAAGTCGACGTTTCGGACAATGGCCCTTCTATCGTTGCAGCATGTTATTTGTGCACCACCGCCATTGCAGAATCACCAAATAAGTTATTAAATAGTCGAGTCTGGAAGGCTGCATCCGTGCATTGATTAACGTCAACCCTTGCACTCATGATATATACACATCGAATGAGGACTTTAATAATGAATGTTTGACATTTATACATAATGAGATGCCGCCAAATCACCACACTTGTTTCAAGTGAGTCTATTCTTGAACGGAACCCATCGCCCTGAATCATAACACATCATCACATTGGTGGGGGGCTGCGCCGAGGATGAATCGTTGTGCTTAGGCTGAAGTTTAATTTAAATAAATAAAAATCTAATCGCTTCACTTGGTTACCACCTTTCACGTGCATAGCTGCGTTGACATCGAGTGTAATTCAAAGTCATTGAGTGCCATCTGTAGATATGATACGCAGGCTGTCTATTATCTTTCATGGACACCGCTTGGAACAATGACTGGTCGCTTTTGATGGGAATCCATCACTTCGATCACGTTTCACTTTCATTACAGCTGCCTATTAAAGTGATCGCCATTTACTTTAATAGAGTTAATTAAATTGAACCCCACATTCGCAGTCATTCAAATCTCTTTACAGCGATCTTTCGCTCACTGGCAAAGATAATTGTTTTATGGAATAACCCTAACCAATAATGAGTACGGCGAATTTTCAGATTAACACGATCCATTCTAACTTACATGACTACGTTAGCCCCTCTCGCGCACCTGATCTGCCCACAATGATGACATCACCTCTACTCCCTCTATTTAAGACTGAAACAGGAGGAATTCTTCACAGTTCTGGCTATCGCCTGATGAAGCTGGTTGTAATCGCCAGCAAAACGTCGTACTCGAATTGTAAACGTCGTGGGTTCACTCTCCAACACAAGGGTGTGCTGAACTAGTAACTAATTGGCACGTATTGTGTACGTGACGAACCTGACTAATTGGCTGTGTCGAGTGTGGTGGGTTTAACGACACATTTATATTTACGCGATCTGACCTTTATTATAGATATAGTTTTAAAGTTACCTCGATTCACGTTCGTAGAGAAACTACAGCATGAGTGCAGCCACATGCTCTGGCAGATGGAGATTTGACAGACACTGATTTACTTTCATTGAGTGCTATTCGAGCATCTCCAATAGGTGTTACACATCTCTGATCTGAGGTCCAGATGTATTTTTTTTTAAAACTCAAAGTTCAATTTGACCATGAAATATAATTTGGGGCCATGCACACACGCAAAAAAATGATCATTATTATACCTTTGGGTGTTTGGGGGAAGCTGGTCGGGTTAGATGATTTCATGTGGAAAATAAAGGGGAGAACGTTCGTAAAATTATGGCGTATATGCTAATTAAAACATGTTTTGGTTTAACGAGATTCAAAGCTTTTCCCCTTCTTTTAATAACAGTGTCAGCTTTGCAATGTGAAAAAAAAAGATTTCAAAGTCATCTTCATGCTCATTACTTGTTAATGCCGTGGAATGTGAGCTGAGTGTCTTTGGAATGATACGTGAATTAATTCCACCCGTCTCTTTCAATTTAGCCGAACAGCCAGCACTACAAAATTGCACTCATCGTCAATTACCTAGGACACTGCATCTCGCTGGCAGCCCTCATCACCGCATTTGGATTCTTCTGGTGGCTCCGGTAAGGCTGTGCACAACATACGAGCTAGGAACTATATTGAAAAAAATGCCTTCTGTGACATTGCAATAGCCCTGTAAACGACAGAGTGGCACTGTGGTTCATCACGCCACGCAATATTACACAGCCGACTCGCTGGGGTGGACTCAAGTATAGGTGGATACGTGAACATCTATCGAAAATTCCACCCATGTTCGACATACTGAAATAGATGCGGGCAGTTAATTGGTCGGGGCGGATTCGTGATGGTCGGATATGCGACGCTTTGCTTCAGGTCGTGACTTCAAATCACAGTTGGATGTTGACTCGCCCCTATCATATTATTTGGTTCTTTCGGTAATGTCACGTAGATAGAATATAATAAAATAAAAAAATAAAAACTCACGATGTTTCGATCGCAACACAAGGGAGATGATAAAATTAGTACCTCTTTGGTTTTCGGGAAAAAGTCAACAGTGATCATAGTCTGGAGAGACTGACCCCCTACGTGGGCATGTGGAATTGTTTCCATTGGCTCAGGGCTGTCAATGGAGATGAGCACCATTCTATGGTCATTTGATCACGGGGACGCTTTTACTTGATTTGATGACCGGGCTGAGAGGATTACCTCCGTTGTTCTTAATAACGTCGGTTGATCGCGGTTGGCCGCCCGGATTAAAAAAACAGGACCTCGGCACGATCATCCCTGGTGTAAGCCCCTCCGACCTACCCAGTCACCTCTACTTGTGGCACATTTACCACACAATTTGGCCCAACAAGATTGATTGAAGCAAGGGCTTTTTTTTCGTGGTAGACTTTTATTGGGACTCGCGGCAAAGAACCATTAATTACTCCTGCTCGCGACACAAAAAGGTGTCCAAGGACAGCAATTGGAAGCTGACACTGCGTAAATTACTCCGGCGCACTTGCTCGTTAGCTTCGAATATATTACATCCTAAAAGCACTCAAGGCATTATTTGGCTGTATAAGACATGCTAAAATATTAATCGAACATCATTGCTCACTGCTGTTTGGGGGAGGGTGGGTGGGGGGGGGGTGTTGGAGGAAGGTGGCGGGATAATTCTTTGGGCATCCCTTTTTATGCACGGCCGTGAACTCAAAAAGCCTGTTTTGGCGTCTCGCTCTTTGCGAAGTCGCCCGTGCTGGCCATCGTTGGGTGACTCTTTGGCGGGCGATGTTAATGGATCACGCGGATATGCACCTACAATTAGCATGGTTGGCTTTGCATGGTGCAAAATAAGTTGAACATACATACGTACGTACATATTACTACGTGCTTGATTCTCCAAACCTTCCGAGACTGTGGGATGGACAGTCGATGGAAATAAAACGAGTGGTCGCCGGCCCACCCGTTACCGATTGTTGATTGTTATTCCCATTTAACGCGTGGGGTTTCCCTACACACTCTCTTCCCCCCCCACCCCCATATGCAAATACACACGGATTCGTGGAATTGTCCAAACATCCAAATTCATGGCCCTTTTGGAAAAGTGTTCAGACTCAGTGAGGCTTTCATGATTAATACAATTATTATTACTGTCATTATAACATGCCAAAATGTGGATAGAAATTGGGCATATAACGAACCACCAAAATAGAGATTAAAACTGAGTCTCATGTCCATGAGACGCCATTGAATCGTGCGTGCAAACAAGACGGACAAACGAGCAACAATACAAACGAGGTGGAAAAAACGAGACAAAAACAAATCTACTACTCAATCAGATTGTGAGGACAACTTGTGAACAGAACATTTCCAAGGCAGGGCAGCGAATCATTGCCTGATGAGTAGATACCACAGATTTAAATAACGCAATCATCAGTTGTGGGAAGTCCGCAGTAGTTTTAGAATTGAGAGACTGGCCTGTGCCATAAGAATGGAATATCCACCACCAGCTCAACAGGGCTTTCAGTGGAGATGAGTACCACCCAATGCTAATTTAAGAATCAGATATATCTCCGCCCTTTTGATGACTCTCGTGCGTTGGTTGTAACTCATAACTTAATTTCAGCTGTCAGAGTCTGGCATGCTGTTCCGGGCATTATTTGGCACGCATGTATGTACATTGAACTTCTTTCGCAGCCAACCATGCTAATCGGAGGCAGACTACATCCATCTCTCCTTATTTTGTCCTCATTTGATCATAGATTCGGGTATAATAATGAAATGGGATCGTTACGGCGTACGTTGCTCTCCTGTGGTCGTGCCTCATGCCGATAAAGTCGTTCTCCCTGCAAGCCAGCCGAGCAGTGTTGCAGAACATATCGAGTGAGAGATACTGATCCCCGGTCTCACCGCAGCAGGTCGTACCGGCAACGCATGGAGGAGAATCTAACAAATGCTTCAGCTTACTTAACCCAGCATTTCCCAACTTTGCAGGATCTGTGCAACCCGCTATCAACACTCAGAACAACCACCATGCAAGTGAACACAACAACAACAAAAAACCTGGCATTTTGTGAACACAAACTGTGTCTGCAAGAAGTTCTGCGGACCAATTCCCATGGCCTTACCGGACAATCAGTGGTCGGTGAACCACAGCGTGGGAACCCGCTGCTTTGGTCCACGCCCAGATGCTGAAAGCTTCACTGGGTCCACGATTGCCAAGGGTGTACGGAGAGCGTGAGCTTCGGGCTGTAGCTGCGGGCGATGGCTTACTTGTCCCGTTTTGTGCGCGACCGTTCGTGGCGTTTCGAGCAGGAGCATCCGCTGTCTCCGTAATGCCATCCACTGGCACCTGGTGACCACGTTCATCCTGAGAAACGCCGCCTGGTTGCTCCTGCAGATCATCGACTTGAGCACGCAGGAGCGCAACGAGGTACGATAAAAGGCCCCGGCTGGCAATGCCCCCTTCCCCTCCGCCCTCCATACCCCCAGTCTCCCACAACGAACCAAGGGCATGGCCGACCAAATCGGGTTTTTTTTCGCACGCCTATCTCACGGTTCCCCAAACTGATGGTGTTAGTGTGACTCTTACTGATCATTTGGAAGGAGACTATTGCCGTGCTCAGACACATTTCTCTAAAGGTATGAATACTGGTTGTATGAGACTGAGAGAAATGCGTGGGTTGTAAAGCATTTCATTAATGTAAAATACATTTAGGTCGATCAAAAAACAATCCTTCTGGACCGATATTTTGGTCTAGATACCAAAAAACCCAGCAGATTATTTTTCTGAACAGGCCACATTCTGCCGTTTAAATTTTGAAAGTTGAAACCTGACCAGTATGCATATTTAAACGAATTACAAAAGGAAAACATGAGCCTTTTGACTAATGGGGTTTAAATGCGCAGCTACGGTAATTATTTTGCTACTTGCTGCGGCGGCTCACAGCTCAAATCTAGCGGCCGTCTCTAAAAAGTTAGATACTCGGTGAGGCTTTCCCCGGATAAAAGAGCGCAATCATAAAATAAGAATGTTTGCCTTTTTTTAGTGTTTAAACAAACCAGTGTTTGAGAATAGGTTTTCCCCTTTTTTCTGAAAACAAAACAGGTGTTAAGATTTGGATTTAAAGCTTTCGTGACTGCAATGATTCATATTCTTGGTTCTTTCGGTAAAGTCACGTTGAAGGGAAACAATAAAATAATAAATAATATGATGACTGTTTGTGTTGATGACTGTTTGTGTTGCAGTCGAAACGTCGTGAGAATTGTATTGTTTTATATATATTTTATTATTTTATTGTTTCCCTTCAACGTGACTTTACCGAAAGAACCAAGAATATAGGTGTTAAGATATTCATATTCTTGGTTCTTTTATTATTTTATTGTTATCTTCTACGTAACTTTACCGAAAGAACCAAGAATATGAATCCCTGCAGTCACGAAAGCTTTAAATCAAAATGTAGGTGTTAAGATGTTAAAACACCAAACTGAAACCTTTTACAAGGAATCATGTCTGCATTAACCACAATACTTGTGGCCAGAATGCAAACAAAAAACATACTCTGATAATATATGCATTGTCTTTGAAACTGATTGGTCCACACCAGAGACAGCTTTCAGTTTGGTGTTTAACATCTTACCACCTGTTTTGTTACCAGGAAAAAAGGGAAAACCTATTATCATATTTTGGTACTGGCAAAGGAGGTCCCATGATGAAACCAGTGTTTGTATATTTATTATTATATCTCACATGCATCTGTTTGTATTTAATAAGCAGAGGCCTATGCAATATGATTGTTTCCTTGAAGCCTGAGCATTTTCAACCTAATTGCGATGATTAAAAAAGTCATATGACATCTTCAGATGCCTGCACCTACATTCGCACATTGCCAAACCTGGTCTGTTCAGGTCGTGAGCTAATGAACTCGGGTCTTTGAAATTGCTGTCGGCATCCAGCCAAGGTGAAACATTCCTGTTTCCTTTCTGGCACTCTTCAACAGCGCAGCAATGTTCCACAATGGGGAATGACCTCGGCGTAACGTAGCAGTCCACACCCTGACATCAATCAAGCACCTTATCTTATCACAGCGGTGCAGATACGCGTGCCGTTTTCTCCGTGTGCCTCCTCCGCGAAGAATAACTCCTCGGAGCTGCGCTACGATGCCAAATTAAGCACGAGGGCCAATTTATATAATGGTTTTCTTACGCGTGTCATCAGTGGCTGGGCTCTGGCTATTAACATTCGCTTCATTTGAGAAGATGAAACGATCTCAGCCAGCTGTCACACTGGTCTGAAACCATATTTGCCAAATATCTCAAATTGAATTGGTGTGGCCATTGGAGGTCAAGTTGTGTGGCTGGAAGGGGGGGGGGGGTTGCCCCCTCACTTGGCAGTCTGGAAGGTGACAGTAATGCATCTTAACGCACAGCATCACCTTTAACAGCAATATAGACTACTTAAAGGTTTCCATTCTTCACGTTATCTCAATTATTTGGTCAATAATAATAATATCCAGCCCCCAAGTAAATTCACTGCGAAATAAAGGCCACCCCATTCTTGTCGGTCATGGAGGTTATTTGACCATACTTCACCATTCTGGTCATGTGGATTGGTAAAGAGATGGGGGCATCCGTGACTGATACATATGCCACTCGTCACTGATGCAAACTGTGGCCGGGAATCGAACTCGTGCTCATGGGATTCGTAAGATGCAGTGCGCTAACCGCTACACAGTATTCCCCCTGTATTCACGACCTTGCTATCCGCAAATCGCATCTGGAACTCTACATTACTGCATCGAGAGAGAGAAAGTGATGGCAATAAGTGACGAGAGATAAAGTGATGTGATAAAGAGATGAGAGCAATAGAGAGAGAGAGAGAAAACTTATCGTAGCTTCAATAAGCATCTGCAGACGTTGCGCATACGATATTTGTAAGCCATTATCATTATCCGTGACATTTTCTATTCACGATCATCTCGGGAACGTATCCCTCGCGAACAACGAGGGGAAGCTGTACTACCGTTCCCTCCCACATCCAACCACAATACGTTGTTGGAAGCAAACCAACGAGTGAATGAACGAGAGCCCCGTTGAGATGGGTCGTCATCCCTGACCTCTCGCTAACGCTCGCACGGCGCCTTCTGCCCCCCACGCAGCCATGGTGCCGTGTGGTCATCACGGTGTTCAACTACTTCCAAGTGACCAACTTCTTCTGGATGTTCGTCGAGGGCTGCTACCTGCACACGGCCATCGTCATGACGTACTCGACGGACAAGCTGCGCAAGTCCATCTTTGTGTGCATCGGCTGGTGTGAGTGCCGCACCGCGTAACCTCCCTCCCTCCCTCGCTCGCTCCCTCAGCTCCGCTCACAGTCGCACGAGGAGCCGGCGGTCGGGCGGTGGCGGCGGTGGCTACGCACGTGGCCTAATAAATCTGTATATTTTTTTCGGTTATTGACATAAACCAGGGAACTCGGTGGAAAACTCACGCAGAACAGGCAAAGAAAATGCAAATGCCATGGAGAAAGGCGTTCGAGTCGGGGAATCAAACCCGGTCGTTTCTTGCTGTATTGTTGAACTTCTTTCGCACCGTGCATAGTCAACCATGCTAATCAGAGGTGCGGGGGGGGGGGGGAGGGACAACAAAGTAAAAACAAAAAGCAGTTCTAAAGAAATTAGTTTCAAATTTGTATGTGAAAGTGCATAGCTCCAATGGCTTCCAGTGATTTCTTGCTATCGGAAGGAAGAGCGTTCCAGACGGCCACAGAAGCGCATGTGAAAGTAGCTCACATCAGTGGCATGTAATCTCTTAATCGTTCCTGAGGCGCACCTTCACCAACCTGCACCAACCAGCGTGGTGATGTATACTCATGCTCCATGACTCACACGGTGTGGGGAGGCCTTCATCCAGCAGTGGATTGGCAAATAAATAAACGTAGTATACACAGGCCATGTGACACTCTGATTAGAACACTCGACTCAGTTGGAGGTTTGCGAATGTAATATCTGGTCAAACATCCACTCTGCCAATCACTCCTCCGTATGCAATAAAAATGAGCCCCACTTTATGGAAAATCGATAGTGGAGAGATTGGTCCTTGGCCTGGGCATGTAGAATTTCCACCACTGGCTCAAGACGAGTGCTGCCCCATGTCAACGTAAGCAGGGAGACACTTTGATGAATGGTTACAAAATGTGAAATGAAAATGGTAACTTTAATTTTTCTCAAACTTCTCATTTGTCTAACTACAGGCATCCCTGCGCCTATCATCATAGTCTGGGCTATGGTGAAGCTATTTTACGAAGATGAAAAGTGAGTACAATCCGACATAAAACATAGCGTAATTATCCTTAAGCCATGCATGCATGACATAATTGTAATAGCTCATTAGGATATACCATCCAGGCAGTAGCGTAGCAGTGTGCTTGAATAAAAATCAGAATGTCATGAGTTCGTATCCTGGTTTAAGTTTATTCAGCCTGTTTATCCCCTTTTGGGTCAACAAAATGATTACCACTTTGTGGGTAATACAAAATCCATGCAGAGACTTGCTGCTGCAATATAAATGTGGAATTTGCTTTTGACATCCCTGGCTCATTCCACTACAAAAACCTGATGACACTTCACTTTTCGTAAGACTAATCAGTATTTGTCGACAACGCATGCGACTATAAATATATAAAACACTTATGAGCCGCGTTTTGTTTGAGTAAGTAGATTGGATTTACTTCTGGCCACCGGCATTTAAAAAAAAACCGGTCCCCGGTCTTGAGACGTTGTGAAGTCCCTGGATAAATAAATGATGTCATTATTACGATTCGTAGAAGACGTGCTGAAGCCACGTCCACAACTGTTGCTGTGGTGTGCGTTTACATTGCCCTGCAGATGCTGGTTTGGAAAAACGGAAGGGAAATACATCGACTACATTTACCAAGGACCCATTATACTTGTTCTGCTGGTAATGAATACTGTGTGTGTGTGTGTCACTTGCACTTCCTTCCCGATTGTGTTGTATCTTTGTTTTGTTTTTCCACAGCACAGAGATCAGTGCTGAAAGTGGGTTACTTTAAAAAAAATCAACCTCTGATTGCTCGTCATTTCAGATGGAACAAATGCTCCCCCGTATTTTTTTTGCTTACATTTTTTTAGGAACGAGCCTTGATTCGACAACTTGACAGTGGTGGTTACTGTCTGCCCGTAGATACATACATAGAACTGCACAAGGAAAGACAAAGTAAGAGAAATATCCCGCTGTAGGCTCAATAGGCTGTTGAGGATGGAGACTGGAATGGCTCGGATTGCGTTCGTTCACCCACCTTTGTCTCCCCAGCGCTGGTGTTTACACACCGCACCAGGTACTCATGTACGGGTGTCGATCTCGGAGGAGGCCTGTTATCATTTCAAATATTCATCACTGATGTCGGCATTAAGTTTGAATCGAACATGGGTCACTGATTCCTGGCGCAGTGCACTCACCACTGTACTACTGCTCCCCATAACACGTATTGTACACACGCTCGGGTGTTGTTGAAACTAGATCCCTGTGAGTTTGGAAACCATCATTAATTCATAAGCACATGAATTGTAAATCCTGTTTATTTATTTATTTACTTTAGACATATGACCTTGCGATGTAAAATGTCCCGTGGTTGTTAATGTTTATTTTACACGTGTCACTTGTTTGATTAAATTAATTGCTCTATTTTTGATCAATGAAATAATAAAACACATCCACACACACATTCACTTACAAACAACTCCCACATACACATATATGCTAACAAAGATAGAGATTCCCCCTCCCTCCCCCCATGTAGCCATAATAGACTGCTAGCAAGCACCTATGAAGGCCGGTACAGCACACGAGGGGGTGGGTGGACAGCAACACTTCCGGCCACCTGTGTTTCCCCAGTGCTGATGTTTACACATTGCACCAGGTACTCATTTGAGGCCGAGTCGACCTAGAGGAGGCCCAGGACCGGTTCAGATAATTTTCACTGGTGTTGGCCATGAGCGGGAATTGAACTCGGGTCGCCAGGTTCGTAGCACGGTGCACTAGCCGCTGCACCACCGCTTTCCCACAATTATTAACATACCAGTCAAAATCAGAATCTACATTTTTACTGGAAGAATCCGATGAGCTGTGAACCTCTTTTTCATAGATGTCCAGTAATTTTACAGCTGTGTATGTAAATACATACACATATCCAGCCACACAAATTGGCACACCACATGTGCACGCGCATGCACACCCTTAACATGCCTTTGTACCATCCTCTCTACAGGTCAATTTCATTTTTCTTTTCAACATCGTGCGTATTTTGATGACCAAGCTTAGAGCCTCCACAACTTCTGAAACCATCCAATACAGGTATGCATACACAAAAGGTGTTTTGGGAGGGGAACTTTATGGATAATCAGTATTTGCAGCAGCACCAGTAGTGAACATTACCATCATAATAATTTTAATTTATCGTTAAAATCATCCACTTTTAACATCAAGATCATCTTTAACGCAACACGTGACAGCAGCCATTATTAGGATTCACAATTTATTCTTGGGTTAGGCCGCCGCGTCATTATGTGGCCAAATCTAAGGGCTCGAGCGAGAATAATTGGCTCGTTAAATGTTTGCACAGTACACGGGACGTTTGCATGTGTACGGCCGCGTCGGGTGGTGGATTCCTCATGATAAAAGATTTGGTCAGATCATTACGTGGCCCATTCAAAAAATAAATTATGAATAATGTCATCTTTATTTAGCATCAAAATCGCCGTCATCTTTTTCCACGTCATCCTCACCATCATGAAAAAAGTTCAACATACATCATAATTGACGGTCACTGCATCGCGCTCTTTCAGATGCACTTCTTCGGCCGCCTGGAACGCTCTTCACTCTGATATTAGGAAGCCACTGGAGCTACGCACTTTTCAATCTAGATTGAAAACTCGTTTCTTTAGAACTGCTTTTTGTGTTTAGTTTGTTGCTCTTCTCCACACGTGCGATTAGCACGGTTGGCTATGTACGGCGCGAAAGAAGTTCAACATACATGCATTGTTTTTAAGTCACGCTCAACCGCCTCTTCCTTGTTGCTACAATTCCTCAACTTGTGGCAGGGAACAAGTAACTGTTGCTGCTGCTGCTGACAAGGTGGCGAGATGTTAACTACCTCGTCTGGTATACAGGAGGACGTGGGTTCGGTCCCAACCCTGATACCTGCTGTATATTTAGAGTGTGCATGCCTCTCTTCCTGTGGTTGTGTGGATTTTTCTTCGGGTCCTCACGTTTTTTTCCTCCACATTTATAAACGCGCGTTTAGAGTATTCGGCTGCCATAAATTTCCACTTGATAAGCCACTTTGTTGAGCTATCATTTGTGACCAGGTCGCTTCTGAAAATGAGCAATATAGCGCAGTGGGCCTTACCTGGTAAATAAAAAATAGTGTAATAGTTTTTAATCGTGTGCATAGTGCATATTATCCTGCTTCTCTGATTTCCTCCCACATTCAGTTAAACTCTCCGTATCGGAATTGGCCAAACATCCTCAACTCAGGACCATCCTAGAAAGGAGTCTTGACAATTCAATGAGACTTTCCGGGGTAAATGAAGGCAATTGCCGTATGTTTTTTTTTTGCTCATTTCTGCACTCCATCCGAGGTACGTTTGGATGATGCTTTGCATGTTGGTGTGACACATCTGGAGAAAAAAAAAAAACTGTATAGCTCAGTGGGCCTTACCTGGTGGAATAAAACGACGAAAGTTTTAGTTTAGTTCCGTGCTGCCGCTGTGGCCCCCCTAAAGGTTTTCACACCCGTGTTGCCTGGAGCAGGAAGGCGGTGAAGGCCACGCTGGTGTTGCTGCCCCTGCTGGGAATCACCTACATGCTGTTCTTCGTGAACCCCGGGGAAGACCCCGTTTCCCAGGTCATCTTCATCTACGTCAACTCCTTCCTCATGTCCTTCCAGGTAAAGAGAGCGACCCTATCCATAATATAGGGTTTTTTGGGTGGGGGGGGGTTAGTTCGTGTAAATATAGATGTGTCGTTAAACCCGCCCACCGCCACCACCCGACACAGCCAATTCGTAAAGTTTTGGTCACGGAAACAATGCGTGCCAATTAGTTACAACTTCGGCAAACACCAGTGTGTTGGAGAGTGAAACTCATAACAATTACAATTAGAGTAATGATTAAAACCAGCTTCATCAGGCGATAGCCAGAATTGTGAAGAAGTCCTCCTGTTTCGGTCTTAAATAGGGGAGTAAATGTGATGTCATCACTGTGAGCCAATCAGGTTCGAAGACCAGACGTGGGGGGGGGGGGTAATGTAATCATATAAGTTACAATGGATCATATTAATCTGAGAATATGCAGTACCGATTATTAGTTGGATTATCCACAGTTAATCAACCCTAGCTGACCCCTCTGCGAGTACACCTCTTCTACCCACCCAGGCCACCCTCATCTCTTTGCTTTTGTGGTATTTGGACGATGACGCCGTGGTTTTAGAGCTTGACTCGTAATCATCACGCTGGTAAACATCCCGGTTGAAACCGTCGGTCCGTTGAGGTTATTTCGGTGCTATAAATGTCCAAATGATGGGGCCACTTTGTTGAGCTATCATTTGTGGCCAGGTCGCTTCTGAGAAATAAGTGAACACCGAAGTGGGCTTTTCCTAGTTGAATTGGGGGTGGTTTCGTTTTATTTATATGTGTTTGGGTGATTTAATCTTGATTTGAAGCTTTCGTGACTGCAGGAATCTATACTCTTTGGTTCTTTCGGTAAAGTCACGTAGGTATAAAATAAAATAATTTTTTATAAAATTATATTTTATTTAATATTTTTATAAAAAATATTTTAAAATTTTTATTTTTATTTTATATTATACCTACATGACTTTACCAAAAGAACCAAAGAGTTTGGGTGATCTGTTTACCTTTCTTGTACTTTGCACTGAGATAATGTCTTTGCACTCTTTTTTGTAACATTGTTACCCTCCCCCCCCCTACTGGACATCTGTGAAAAAGAGCTTTATAGCTCATCGGATTGCTCCAGTCAAAATCAATATTCTGATTCTGAAGGATGATACAACAAGTGCAGTACAGTGCCGCATATCCGACCGGTCGCATATCCGCCTTCACCCATTGTGCATGGCGTGAATAATTCTTGATGATAAACTTTAATCGCATTATGATGATTCTCTGCTCAAGGATAAAATGTCATCTACTTTATTTACTATTAATATTATCTTTTACACGTAACAAAAATCTGGTAGTTTCCCATACAGTATGTCACGTATCTAACCATCTCATATCCGCACTGCCCAATTAACCACCCCACACTCTGTGCAGTGTTTTTACATGGTGGTGTAACCGTCATTTTTGATAGATGTTCACGTATTCGTCCCTTTTCACTTCACTGCCCAAATCTACGTGGCCAGCGAGCGCAGCTTACACGGTGTTATACTACACCACGTCGTGGTAAGTCAGCAGTGGGCTCGTCAATGGACTGCATAAACCACTTTGGATGAGGAATCGTGAAGACCGGATTACGATGAGCGGGCACATGTGCAGGTTGGAAGTCGGTGCTTCATCAAGGGTGGCACAGTGGTAAAGATTCATGCCTCACAGCGAGAGGCGCCTGGGTTCGATTCCCGACTCGGGTGCCTCTCTGTGTGAAGTTTCTATGTGTGGGTTTCTTCCGGATTCTCCCAGTTTATTTCCATATCTGTGACAACTTGACAGGCGCCCTTCTGAAAAAGAGTCACGAGCAGGGGTGTCGGCAACCAAAGGAACAAGAAGAGCCATCTTTTTTGCGAATTCGGTACAAAACTCAATATTTCAAGAGCCGCCAATACATGTGAATACGTACGTGCACGCATACATTACGTGACGAAGAAGTTCCTTAAAGAATCGCATGCGGCTCGGGAGCCCGCAGGTTGCCGACCCCCTGGTCGTGAGACTCAGCGAGGCTTTGCTGGTTAAAAAAGCGCAGAAGTAACAATAATAAGACAGGCATTGGCAGTGGAAGGCACAGGTCAGTGACCGTGAGCCTGTAACAGCAAACTTTATTTCTTATGACCCAGAAAAAAAACTCACTTAGCCTCGTGTCTCTTTATCAGGAGGATCCTGCCAAGTGTTCTCAGTGGAGCGGGGTGGGGGCGATGATTTCTGTGTTGATTCTAATTGAGTACTTGGAGGCCAGGTGTCCACCTGTGTAACAGTTGTAGGATCAGATTGGAAGGAAGTAAAGGCCAAGTGTGTGTGTGGTCATTATTCCAATAAAAACATGGAATGTTGATCCATAATAGACGTTTTTTTTTGGGTTAGATCGCATAAATATAAATGTGTCGTTAAACCCACCACCACCCGACACATTTATATGTATGCGATCTAACCCAAACAACCTCTTGTGGATAATATTGGTCGCGAAAGCCTACTACTACAACATGTTAAATGGAACGTTGAGTCAACGTTGGCCCAAAGTTGGCGTGTTTACTGGCTGTGATAACCTCGAAATGTCCGTTCGTATTTAATGGCGTTTTTTGCTCAATAAAATAACAAAAAAAAGACACAATTTAAAAATTACAAGTTAAAAAAAAACATTAACACGATGTTGTATTTCATGCTTTTCAGGGATTCTTTGTGTCAGTATTCTACTGTTTCCTGAATGGGGAGGTAAGCGAATACTGAGCCACATAGGTACAAATAGAGTACAACGATGCAGCAAATGCTTTTCATGGAAACGTGTTGTACGTGTATACATTTTCTACGTCTATACTAAATTATAAGTTAATGTAAGGATACACTTGGGTGGCATTAATATATGTAAATGCTGCACAGCATCTCAAATCACTTTTTAAGCAATGTGTGCATATCAGATTGTACATATATATGTGCTCCAGATTATAAAGCAATGTCTGTTTGCCTTCAATGCAACCATATCTTTCACCAACAAACCTATAAACCCATCTAAACCCACACCACATGCACCGACACATACATACATACATGCACACACACACACAAAAACATACGCATACATGAACACACACTCGCAAAAACACATGCACACACACTAATGGATGCGCACACATTGACACGCTCAAAACACACGCAAACATTTGCACACGCAAACACGCAAATATGCACATGCATACATACACACGCACACAAACGCACACATGCACACACGAACACTTTCACACACATACACATACATAAATACCCACACGCGTGTACACACACGCACACACACACGCATGCACACGCACGCACACACGCACGCACACACACGTACACACGCGCACGTACACACGCGCACGCACGCGCAGGTGCGCTCCGCCCTGCGCAAGCGCTGGAACCGCTGGATGGACAACCACCGGTTGCAGGCGCGTGTCACGAGGGCCATGTCCATCCCCACGTCGCCCACGCGCATCAGCTTCCACAGCTTCAAGCGCACGACGTCCGTCTGACGGAGGGAGCGCTCCGGAAAAAGACGGATCGTCGAGGGCAATGGACAGCGGCGACGATGACAGTGATGACCCACAGCATCTGCACACGTCGCTCTCGGATTCCGCCACCGCCGGCGTTGACCTGACGCTCCCGCTCGGGGTCAATAGGTCGCAGATTCACGTCCAAAAACTCCAAACGGCTGTCCGTACGTATTACCCCGAATGGACTCCTGGCGTTCAAGGTGGTTTGTTTTTTAATTACTTTATTACTTAGCGGGGGGTGGGGCGCTCTGTTTATTTATTTATTTATCGTCGTCGTCGTTGTTATTATTATTCGACGAAAATATCGTTCCATCTGAAAGCGGAAGCAGGGGTAACTCGAGTGGTTTGTCTTTCCCCAAACAATCTAACGATTCAAGCAGTGAATAGGGCCACGACGACTTGTGTTGCAGAAGGACTTTCAAAGAGTGCACTGACCCTCAGCCGGGGTGGGGAGCAGGGGGGGGGGGAGGCGGCGGTGGTGTTAAGCTGATTTACAAATTGGTAAAGCGGTGCTTATTAAGCAAAATTAAAAATACGCCAGTTTAAACTTTGCTCGCTAGCAGGCGTGGGCGTGGGATTTGTGGCGTCCCACGTAGCTGTAAGATAATTTCTTCAAACACGTGTGTGTATTTTATTAAAACACGCTCAAGTCAAGCGTTCGTCAAGGCAAGCGTTCGTCGTCAGACAACCTTGACGGCAGTGCCCGTCTCTGTCATCGTGGGTGACGCTGGGCACGTGGTGGCAAGCCCCACATTGCAGTAGCAGGGGCCAGCCAGTCTCTCCATCAGATGACCATTGCGAACTTCTAGCACAGTGGTGTGCTCGTTTCGTCAACCCTGGAAGGACAATGAGAACTGTTTCACCGATGACCCTCGGTGCAGCATTGCCAATAGTGCCACCTGGCCAGAAATTAAAACCATCAAGTACGAACATGGAAGGGAAAAGGACAATGAGAAGCGTTAGACAAATGTCTTCAATATCAAGAGTTCATCGCAGCCAGTGTAGGTGATACCACCAACACCTTACCATCGCTTCCTTCCACTTGACCCGTCGACACCTGACAGCCAAGGCTTTCCCCAACCTGTCCCTTTCATCATCTTTTTTTAATTATCAGTTGCATTTCCTGCCCATACCCACTTATTTTACCTAAAAGCCAATTTGATGTCTATAGCTTAAATATTTTATCCAATCCGTGAGTTCCTTACTCTTTCGTTCTTTCGGTAAAGTCATGTAGGTATAAAATAAAATAAATCACGACGTTAAGGGGCACAACACAAGCGCCCGAAACGTGATTTATTTTATTTTATACCTACATGACTTTACCGAAAGAATCAAAGAGTATGGATTCCTGCAGTCACGAAAGCTTCAAATCAAGATTGAACCGTGAGTCCCTCTTTCAGTCTAAGCATGTGTGATTCCGAGCATGCACCTCTCCATGCTTCTTTGTACACTTTTCAGGTTTTGTCTCAGTGTCTTTGTCAATGTCCATGTTTCATTTGTCATAGCACGTAATAATCACCGATTAAAATACATTTTTAGGCTCATTGCTGTTCTTGCTTCTCCTTATGAAGTTTAATTCCCGCAAAGCACACCTTCTGCCTCTTTATTTCATTACTTTGGTCCTGTTTGACCTTTAATAATTGCCCTGGGTATAAATAATCAAATACATTTTTCCAGGTGTGACATGCCAACAGGTATCTCCAGTTGGCTAGCAAAGTTGTGTTCAGATTTACCTTGAACCCCACCTAACAGCGTTCTTTATTAAGCTCGGCCACAACTCCATGTAGTTTGTTTCCACTGGTTATAACGACTCTGTTGTCAGTATACATCACCCAGATCCGGAAGAATTCTGTTTAACAGTGGAACAACGCGGACGTCCTGAATATGCAGCTCATTCGAGACCCAAACATCATCGCACTTCCTGGCTTTGACATTGCCTCGAAGACACTGGCGGTGGAACCATCAATCACATTAGAACATCAACAGGCCGATGTGGACATTCCCTCCATGAATGACAAATTAATGGCAAGCCACGGTCGTGCGATTTTGGCAATGCAACGCAAACGATTTCCCATAAAGAAAAACATTGTAGTCCACGCTCCTTCAACAAAGCAGGTGGATCTACAGACTTCCATTGTAGATTAGTGGCCATGGGCAAGCAGGCATTGTGATCAAAAGTCGTGCAAGAGAGAATCAATGGAAATGTGGATTCACTGGATTTACCACCCCCCCCCCCCTCATATAGGGTTTGCGATGAGTGTACATCTTTGGCAGTGCAACGATAAGTAGGTGATTTAATTTTAAATTGTAGCCGTGAAACTTTTATTGTTTAATGAGTCACCCTCCAGCATGCTAGCAAGATGCATTCACGATTGCTGACATTTCTCCAACAACAAATAAAATAAATAACATTTCGTATGCCTGCGGTGAATGGGACATCGACATAAAATGGCATTTTGTCTGGAGAACGTTTTCAACATACTTTAATTGTGAGGTTCATCAAAATAATAATTGTTGACCGAGTGCCACAGGATTCTAGAACACACACACACACGCGCGCGCGCGCACAGTGTGACCGTGCACATTTCCCAAACAATAGCCTCGGACTTGCACGAACTTTGTCGACTCCGTTTAACCCTGGAACGGAACGAGTCTGGCTGTTTGTAGACTCGCAGCGGTGGTTCAGTTTTACCCATAACGAAGGTTTACTCTCTGTCCACTGTGGCAGTATATCCCCAGTGCAATCGTTTATCGCAATGCTCGGAAGATGGGCCGTGCGTCATAATTGCGAGGTTTGCACGTTGTAGACCTGTTACGATGTAAGTGGAACACGCAACGTAAGAGAAGACTCAATACAACAACAAACAGCTATTGTAGCTTACACACCTAGGCTCAATGAACAAGGCTGTCCGACATGAGTTTTGAAACCTTCTTCATGAGAAAAATTACTTTCAATGGACATTCAGGAACACAGCTTATTTTGGCAGCGCCAGCGTGTCAGACGTCACTTAAGAAAGCTTTTTGCACTGCCTAAGTGTGGAGTTTAAAAAAAAAAACGACGAGTTTTTGTTTCGTCACGTGTTTGTTTAATATCTGCAGCAGAAATAATTGTATTTGCATGTTTTATTTAATTTAATTGAATTTACTGTTTTTGTGCTTGAAACTGTACACTGTTGGCTTAAATGTTTCAGATAAGGTACTGCTTATGGCACAAGCTCCTTGCATATCTCTGTATATATATACGTACGTATAAAGCCATACACTATGGCTGGGCAATACTTTTATATTTCAATGTTAACAGTTTCGCGGGGTTATTACATTGTTAAAAACGGAGCAATATGAAACTTGGCACAAGGCAGCAGAGCTTCAGTGTCATTGATCAATTGATGTCAGAATTAACAAAGATCATTTCGATGCAGAATTAAATGACCATTTAAACTTGTCAAATCTTTATCGATGTAAACGAAGCTATTGTTTCCAATATGCATCTCATTGTATCAGTTTTATACGGTCGGTCAATAATTATGCCATGGTGGCATACAAGTATGTGTGGGTGTAATCTAGCCACTGTGGGAGTATATACAGATTAAATGTGTGTGTGTGTATATATGTGTATGTGGTTAGCACATTATGCGACAATTCCAGCAACAGGGGTTCAATTCTCGAAGTCCACTCAGTATTAAATGAGTGCCTGAGAGTGGCATTCCGTGACTCCAGTTCAGGTGGACAGTGAGCTCCGTGCCGGGTTTTGCAATTGCAGGTGACATGAGCAGGTGATCAATGGATTAAGAGTGCAATTTGAAGCGGAGGCGATGCTTAATGAACCAGGTTGCTGCCTCCCAGGAGGCCACGGAGATTTATTCACGAGAAAACCTGAAACGGAACCCATTACTCACCTGACCTGAACCCACAGTCCCCAGTGATGCCTGTCGGAATGACAGATATCTGCACTGGAGAGACAAAGGTGGCCGAGCACAGTACTATAGCCGTAGCACCGGCCTCACGTGTCATGCCCCCCCCCCCCCCCCTAATAGGTGCTCACTAACAGCGCTTGTCCCTGTCATTTACGTGACTGCATTGGCAATCCTTATCTGTGTGTGTGTAGAGTGCAGTGTACAATGCAGAGAATTAGCATAGTGGTTCATGCGATTCACGTGTCCCTGGTCACCTGGGCTCACCCTTTGCCAAGCAAAATACCAGCCGCAATTGGTATCTGTATCTATCACAGGCCTCTCCTAGGTGGACTAGGCCTGAGATGAGTAAAAAAATAAATTGCACCTTTTCTCCAATAAGCGTTTGGCTGCGTTCATCTCCCTTGGCGGCATTCAGCCAGTAGTGGAAATTCCTCGTTCCCATGCCGGGAGCTACTCTTCTTCGTTAAAATGACCATTGTTGATTTCCCACAAAGTGGTACCCTTCTTACGACTGTGCAGGTGTGCACCGTTGTGCTATGCAGCTCTCCAATGTGTTTTCAGGTTGCGCCGCTATGTGCTGTTAAGTGTGATGGGGGAAAAAAAAATGAATACCGACGAAGCTTCCAGCACGTGGAGCAAAATGGCAGACATCACCGAAATTAATTTTCCTGAAGAGTGGAAGATACATTGGAGAATTGCGGTCCTCATTTTATCGACCTTGAGGGGATGATGGACTGAGTCGACTGCTCATGTTCTCTGATTGTGACTCATGATCTCTGACCATAGCACCCACCAAGGCTAAACAGAGCAGCTGATGTGGGATTATTTCGATCAACAACCGCGCATTTTCCGGCGCCAACATACGCTCGTATCCCACGTCGGTCTTAACAGCACTTCTCTAACAGTGCATGAAGAAATTATAATTATTCGTCTCTTGTATATTTGTATAGTAAATTAAATTATTCTGCTATCATATACAAGTTGAATGTAACGTTATTTTTAAGTGATTTATTCCTTTCTGCCTGGCAAGGAAACATTTAATGTTGAGCTCAAGCTGGTCTTTATATATTTAGGATATACATTATTGTTACTGCGTTTGATTTCTTTTTCTATATAGGTGATAAAAAAATAACTAATTTTATTGTCCTTTAACCCTATACACTTATTTAATTTGAGTGTGTATACGTTTATAAATGCATTGTGTTTTGTGTTACGTGTGTATACTGAATGTGTGGGTGTGTATGTGTGTATATATGTATGGGAATTACACGCGACACGCACATGTGTGTACAAATGAAAAATAAAACCCAAGTGAAATCTGTTGGCATTGATGTACGATCTCAGACTGATGAAATCTCACCGCTTACGTCATTAACAGTGCTTAGGCTGATAGCACGAACACGGCTCCGTGGGGGGCTCACCGGTGTACGTCCTTTTCCAAGAGTGCCCTCATCATTCAGGACGTAGCTCGGCAAATCGCGTGCTCACGCCTACTGCTTGGAAGACGTGGGGGATACCCAAGGCTTTAACCCCGCTGGACACGGTCCTTGCCGATCGACGGACCGCCGTGTACCCATTTATTCCGCTGCCGCGCACAGAGGCGGAAAGGTTTAGGAAACTTTTGCATTCCCCCCCCGCCCCCACCGTTGTCAGCTGCCGTGACAGGAGAGCGAATCGAGCCGGCGACCTGTCGATGGCAAATCGCTCACCGCTACGCCACGGCAGCATCCCGTCACGTAAATGTGGAATCCCGCCTTTGGCTCGGAGAGGGCTGCCAATGTAAATGCATGAACACCATCCGATGCTCAATTGAGCACGAAGACAATTTGCATGTTTACCATCGTGAAATAAATATTAATTATATACATAAATGATGGGCAAACACTTTAGACACCGACGCATGCGAAGTGAAGAATCAACATTGCCTGAAAACGTCTCCCACTATAATTTCTCATCATAGGAATAATCATCATCATCATCGGCCATGTTCAATACATTGCTAGCTTCAGGCTTTCCCAAGTCACTGCCATCGCTTGCAATCCTGCATTGTAACCCTCCATCTGGACCCTGCACGTGAGCTGGATCATTGCCCCATGCAATGATGATGGCGGTTACCTATTTTCCGTACGAAAATGTTTTTTTTTTTTGCATACGCACTAAACACGAGCCAAGTCTAGGCATTTCTAGCACGAAATGTGAGGCAGTGGTCATATCTATTGGCAGCTCTGATCCAGTGGTGGAAATTCTGCCTTCTTATGGCAGACGCCATTCTCTCCATGGGATAACGACTTGTTGACCTTCAACACAAAGTGGTACTTATTTTATCAACCACAGAGAGTTCATAGGCTGGGCGAACTCACACCCGGGATTTTAACTTGCAATGCATCTTGAATTGTTTGACATTTATTGATGGGGGGGGGGGGGGATTTGAACTGTTGGGTGGCACGCAATGTCTTGCTCTTGGCAACAACATCAGAGGGTCTTTAATATCCCCGCTCCCCCTCAGCAGGCAAAGGGAGTATTTAGTGGATCACCGCATGATCACACTGCTGCAGTAAGTGGATCCTACTTGTCACACTCACTGGTTCAGTGCCCTTCATCTGTAGCTAAGATTTACAAACTAAAGCAATTACAAACGGTTTGCAAAATTATTTTATTATCCTTAATTGGGGACGCACATCTCGGGCACTCATTCTCATTAAATATCCATTATTCCATTCGCATTTGCATTGAAAATAATTTCTTAAAGTGTGGCTTCATATAACAAATAAAATGTGTAGTGAGAGCAGAGCATATGCTCCCATTTTAGATTTGCAAACGATTAACAATTGATCGAGAAGGGGGCTGTAACAAATTAAATTAAAATTGTGTTATGCAAACACAGCTTTAATTACTCGCAATTACAATGCAATGTTCTCAGATGAAAAGTTAATTGGTGAAATGTGTAATTAACCTGAGCTTGCTGCACCAAGCTGTGATCCCCAAAGAAACACGAAGCAATTTAACAATCAGTCTTGTTACAAAGATGTATTTGTCACGACAGCGAAACATGCCAATATGGGCTGTGACCTTTACTCTATCACTCTCTCTCTTCCTCAGTTTAAATTCCTATTTTATATATGCCATTGAGGAATCATGTTCTATCGTTTGTTAATTACCAATTCCGAACGGGTGGTGCTGTGGAACAGTGCTCGATCAGCGGCCGGAAGATTAAAAGCACAAATTCCATTTGGGGGGTGACTTAGGCAATATTTTTTCTGCTTTCAATACAACTGGGACCACTTTGTGGGCTATCCAAATGAAAGACGGGACCCAACCATACGAATGTGGATTGTCCATCACCGGTTTTAGGACTCTACTGAGATGAGCACTGCAAGTGTGTAAAATATTCAAGTTTCAACCACCTCTTCGGGGAGGTATGAGGTATGTGTCTTTGTGTTCTCTACCGGTGTGTTTACCTTTGTGTTCTTGACATAGGTTTGTGTCTCTGTGTTGTCTCTGCCTGTGTTTGTGCCTTGGGTTTCCGAGTGTGTGCCGTTTCCTCTGCTGCCTCCGCGCCCCCACTTGCTGCATGCCTCATGCTAATTTGTGTCCCATTGTCTCGCCGAGAATGTGTAGTTTCTTCCTTGGGCCTCGTGCCGCGTTCGAATTTGTAGCCCCATTACATCTCAGCCCCGCCCTCTCTGTCTATTTAAAACCTTGACACAGAGATGATGCTTCACTGTGTGCCTGTCTCTCTCCATGTGTCTCTGTGCTAACTCGTTCTGCTTGGATGTCTATATATGTATGCGGTCTGTATTTTTTAGATTAAAAAAATATATACAATTTAGCAATCTTTGAAATAACGTAATCAACCTGACCTTGCGTTAATTGTGTTTTGACCGACCGTCTGTGTTGCGTTATATGGTTTCCAAATCTTGCTAAAACCTGTTTGAATTAGTGTGCTCCCACGTTTTTCTCTCTCTGTATCCCCTGTTGTATCTGTGTCTGTATATATATCTGCGGTTATGTGTCTCCTCTCTCTCGTAAATTTAGCTCTTCTGTACCTGATGATGATTGCTTGTGTTGCAATCGAAACGTCGTACACTATTAGGTTATTTTATTATTTCTACGTGACTTTACCGAAAAAACAAAAGAATAATATGTAAAATATACTTTAATGCAGTTGCAGTGAAGCACAATTAAGCAAAGCAATTGGTTTTTTTGTCGATCGGATAACGTGCTGTACATGAAGTGGTGGACAGCCAATTGTTGAATACTCCACTGAAAAATCCCACCACTCATCATTACGTTTTATTTTGAAACGTGTTATGATTTATATCTCCGGTATTCACGATTTCATCCATATTGGGCTGGCTTGTGGTTTGGCGAGAGGGCTTGACTTGCATTTGAAAAGTTGAAGGTAAAAATCCTGGTCAAAGAACCAACGTTTATCCTAATCATCTATTGGTAGTAGAGATCTGAGCTAGCGCCTGTTAACCTGAGAATGCTGGATGTAATCTCCAAATGTTGTGAGATTCCTCTCCAACAACAGCAACAACACCGGTGGTGATGCTGCTGAAGCAGTAATGTTTGGCACGATTGATTCATGTGAGACTTTTATTGTTAGACTGTGCAGGGTGGTGGAAGGCTCACGACAAACTTGTTTACACGATGATCAAATCCAAAATACAACACTTATTTCTCATAATATTGGTCGTGAAAGCCTATGTATGAAATTAAATCGTAACCACTTTGTGGGAAGTCAAAAGTGGTTATTCCGCAGAGAGATTGGCCACAAGACATGGAAATGTGGCCTGACAGCAGAAGCAAACGCCAAACAATTGTTTGTTTGAGCTGGTGCGCATTAACAATACATTATTTTACGTACGTTCACCCTGTCGTGACAGTATAGCACTTACAGATACCATCGTATGTTAGAATCGGCTTGTAAAACTGAATTACAATAGCCTTGCTCGCACACCCATATTCCACCCCGCTCCTCCACGACAACCCCACGCACCCTGTGCAAGGTTGCCTAACAATCAACGACCCCTTTTAGAACGGCCACATCGCGAGCCAGGCGAAATGGATATGTCCATTCAGATTTCAGAGATCATTTTGGGCGCGCAATTACAACGACCTAAATGCCTAGTGGCACTTCGAGTGTCGCCACCCGCCACCCGCCCCCCCCCCCCCCCGCCCCCCCCAAATTGCTCTGGTAATTGCCCCGTTGCACATTCCCACGTGGGTAGCCAAGCCTCGGGCATAACGCGCGAGACGCAAAGCGCTGCCAAGCGTGCGGGCGGCGTTCGGTTTGTCGGCGGCCGCGCGGCACGAGAGAGGCGGTGGCTGTAGTGCAACCCGCACCTTCCGCTAGCCCTGCGAGCGCCGCTCGCCGTGATCGCTCCGGGGTTATCGACTACGCGAGGTTTTCGGAGCGCGAAGTATCTTTAACATCAATACGTGGCGTTTTAAATTAAATTTAAGCAGGTTGCATTGAACAATTACGATGGTGATTATGGTGGTGGCAGAATAAGGAGCGATGGGGGGTGGGGGGGTGGCCCATGAAGGCGCTTAATTAAGGGGACCCAGCACGTGACTTGGCAACCGTATTCCAAAATTCGGGAGAGAAGCTTCACCCCTTCAACTTGTGGGCCGAATGCAGCCGGCTACTTAATTTAATATGGCCCATGGCCACATGATCACAGGCCTTCCAATTTTAAATAACCTGTAAATTATATATTTCCATCACTGCAAGAAGCATCTTAGCCGCACTAATCGGATATCAGAGGGTAATATTTTCAACCTGGGAAACATTGCGTTTCTAATTTTTGCACTGCACCAGTCATTTTTGTTACTGCAGGGGCATCTTGCAGTCACATAAGTAACTGAAGTGTGTATTTTTCTTAATGTTTGGCATGCCATAGGTATTTGAGAGTGTTATATGGTCCTCGGTAAGGAATACATTTCCCACTCCCAGTGGTAATTAATCATTCCTATGGCACTGATTCATTTTTGCATGGAATGGTGAATTGACTGAGCAAACCTCTCAACGAGATTTGAACTTCTAACCTGCTGATTTGTGAGTTTTATAACCACAGCGTCACCCATGCAGTCCTCGCCATAGCAATATGGACGTGTCACCAAGGGCTCAATACCACCAATGTCCATGTGCATAGTCGAATGCTTGCATGACATTTTTTAGGGGAATAATAAAAAAAAAACTAGAATGATTAAAAATACAAACAGTAATCCAGGCACCGGGACATTTGGCCAAAGACCACATATATCCACAAATGCTCTGTATTTAGACCATTGAACAAACGTGGAACTTTTAATGTATTATTAA